GGAGAATAGGTCACTGTACCTTAACAAAGATGGCCATCGTAGTACTCATCTCCGCCTCTCCTTGGCTCCTCCTCTCATATAGCTGAGTCTGTGGTCTCTTTAACATAACTGACGGAGGTGGAGCTTTAGCCCAGCAGTCCTCTCCTCTCGATGAGAAGGCAGTGAATGAATAGTTTCTAGGGACTCCAGAGTGCTTAGCAACCGAGGTTTTGCTCCGCCCCCTGCTGTGTGTGACTCCTCCAGTTCCCTGCCCCCTGATTGGCCTGACTTCTGGGACTTATCAGGTATAATGGGGGCTGTGATAGGAGCTGTGTTGAGATCTATGGGGAGGGGAACTGTGATCTATGGGGGACCTCAGAGAGGGATCTAGCTCTGTATACACAAGCATTGCTATAGAAATGTCTGTCATCTCATGTACAGGTGATCATGACATCACACTCTGCTTTCTATGGACACTTTACTACTTTGTTGTCAGAGGTTTTATATAAAGTCACCCTTCCCCCTCCCCCACTTTGTATCATTGCACTCCTCCCCCTCCGCTGTCACAGATGGACATTTTATTTCATTATTGTATTTATTATTCTACTCTTTTTGGCATTTTTTCTTACATTTGTTTATTGCTGTAATATCTTTTTTCTTGTCCCCTCCCCCCACATTACAGGTGATCATGACATCACACTCTGCTTTCTATGGACACTTTGCTACTTTTGTTGGTCAGTTTTCTTTCAAAGTGACCCCCCCTCCCCCCACACTTTGTATCATTGCACTCCTCCCCTCCGCTGTCACCGATGGACATTTCTTTGTATTTCTTTTATGGATTCTTCTCCTTTTTTGCATTTCTTTATAAATTTTTGTAATACCATCTTCCTTGTCCCCCTCCCACCACTGGCAGGACTCTCCGACATCCTCCTGGAATACTGATGTCATGCATCCCAAGAAGTCTCGGGGTCCTGTACAACGCATGCGCTGCTGTGCATCATCAGGGCTCTGGCTGTCTTTTCCTGATTCTTGCAGCTGTAGCCATGATGCTGCACTTTGGCCAATGCGTGCCATCAGGGGGGCGGCTACGAGAACCCGGGAGAGACAGCGGCCCCTTGATGATGTACCAAAACACCTGACTGTTTCGAGTGAGCGCAGCAAAATCGTACGTTTTTCTGTGCATTTATGAAACGTTGTGGTGCCATCAGGGGCGGACTGACAACTCATGGGGCCCCCGGGCAATAGGGGATCATGGGGCCCCTGTGTCCTTGCCCAAACTCAAAAAAAGCCTATGAAAAAGGTACCAGGGGCATCTCATGGGGTACCCTACTGACCCCGGGCCCTCGGGCAATGCCCGAGTTTCCAAATGGTCAGTCCGCCCCTGGGTGCCATTCATTGTTAATGACATCACAAACACAGCAAGCACACACATGTTTTGTTCCACGTGGCAGACGTGTCAAAACGCACAAAGCTTAATGCTACTTTGGCACATGTCATGCGTAGGGCCGCCTACTGAAATGAATGTGATTTTGCATGCGTTCATGGAATGTACTTCATAGCTTTCAAAAAATGATAAAGGAAGTCATTCTTTTACCAGAACAAAGAGCTCTGAGCGCTCAGCTCTACCCCGCAACATTGTGCTGGGCTGGCAGATTATGACCGCTTTGTACCAGAACTGCTATTCATGGATGTATGGATGTGTATGGATGATGGCAACAGCCATCAGGGGTCCCCTCTGGGGTGTATTGCGGCTATTACTGACCTGCACAACATTCCCTGCTGCCAACACCAGACATCGGAGTGAAAGGGTCACTTTACCATAAAAAAGATGGCCGCTGGAGTGCTCAGCTCCACCTCCCATCCTTGGCTCCACCTCCCATCATTGGCTCCACCTCTCACTCAGGTTCTGTAATCCTTCAAATTTTACTGAAAGCTCTTCAGGAAATGACAGACCTGGACCGTCAGCCCGCCAGTGTGCAGCACTGGATCCCCACTGAGCAGCAGTCAATGATTGTTAGGAACGCCAGCATAGTTCTTAGCAAACAATGATGTCATGTGTATGCCTTGTTCCCTGTAGCACACCTCCTCCCAGTTCCCGTCTCCTGTCTGCCCTTCTTCAGGGACATACAGTATTAATCGAGCACTGGGCACTGTGATGGGCTCTACTGATCTATGGGGCTATTCTGATCTATGAGGGAACTCTGATCTATGGGGGGCACTCTGATTGCTGCAACTGATCTGTGGGGGTACTCTGATGTATGTAGGCACTCTAATCTATGGGGTTACTCTGATTGGGGCACCTGATCTGTGAGTCTACTCTGATCTATGAGGGAACTCTAATCTATGGCTATACTCTGATGACAGCAACTGATCTGTGGGGGTACTCGAATCTATGGGGCACTCTTATCTATGGGGGTACTCTCAGGCACCTGATCTGTGAGAGTACTCTGATCTATGGGGGCACTCTGATCTATGAGGGTACTCTGATGAAGGCAACTGATCTGTGGGGGTTCGCTAATCTATGGGGACACTCTAATCTATGGGGCTACTCTGAGACACCTGATCTATGGGGGTTCTTTGATCTATGGGAGTACTCTGATTTGGGCACCTGATCTATGGGGGTTCTCTGGTGAGGGCAACTGATCTGTGGGGGTACTCTGAACTATGGGATACTCTGATGAGAGCACCTGATCTATAGGGGTACTCAGATGGGAGCACCTAATCTATGGGGGTACTCATATGGGAGCACCTGATCTATGGGGGTACTCAGATGGGAGCACCTAATCTATGGGGGTACTCAGATGGGAGCACCTGATCTATGTGGGTACTCAGATGGTAGCACCTGATCTATAGGGGTACTCAGATGGGAGCACCTGATCTATATGGGTACTCAGATGGGAGCACCTAATCTAGATGGGGTACTCAGATAGGAGCACCTAGTCTATGGGGGTACTCAGATGGGAGCACCTGATCTATGTGGGTACTCAGATGGGAGCACCTGATCTATGGGGGGGTACTCAGATGGGAGCACCTGATCTATGGGGGTACTCAGATGGGAGCACGTGATCTATGGGGGTACTCAGATGGGAGCACCTGATCTATGGGGGTACTCAGATGGGAGCACCTGATCTATGTGGGTACTCAGATGGGAGCACCTGATCTATGTGGGGTACTCAGATGGGAGCACCTGATCTATGTGGGTACTCAGATGGGAGCACCTGATCTATCTGGGGGTACTCAGATGGGGCAACTCTTCTATGAAGGTTTAGAGGTGAATCCCAGGATAAGCAAATATTGTCTAAATACAAGAGTCCTGTGTATTCTTCTTGAATCTCGGTGTGTTTGGTTTATTTCTTCCAGATCTGCGCAGTAATCCAGTGTGAACTTTTCCCTCTGTGCTGGAGCTTCCTGTAATAAAGACCGCTCATTGCTGCTCCCTCTCCTTGCACAGCGTGACTGGTCTTGTCTCCGCCCCTCTGGTGGTTTTCTGAAGGCAGCTTGCGTTGGGTGGGTCCTGCCTGTCCCGCCCACAGCTCTGCTCTCTGCACAGGCTATGTACATAACAGTGATGATGTCACTGCTATGTTTACAAGATAATACCTGGTTTTGCAAGGGCATATGGGTGCTCCCAAAGTGGACATCCTTTGTGGCTATTAGGAATTATATATTTTAAAGTATTTGTGCTCGGAGTTCAGCTGTAAACCTGAAAATGAAGATGCCTTTTTTTAACCAATATATTGTGTTTGAAAAAATGTTACTAAAAGTATTTTTTAAACAGGTGTCCCAGTGAAGCTCCCAGCAGAGCACATAGTAAGGGGCCAGATCAATAAATCGCCTTTACAGAATACTTCTTCATCTGTTATCAACATTCCAGCGTACTGCACAGAGGTAAGAATTGATGGGCTACTCATAGATTTACTTCATTTATTTAAAAGTGACCTACAGGAACACGGCTAAATCCACAAATGAGATCCATACAAGGGAGCCGTCTTACCTGCCAAAGGATTTGTGCTTCTGTCCGTACACTGGTGATAGTTACACAGCTCCCACACACAGCACAACACGGTCTACATGGGCTTTTCTCTGAAGTGATTGTAAAGGTTTGATTATTTTTTTCATATAATAAACATGTTATACTTACCTGCTCTGTGCACAGCAGCCCTCCTCTTTCTGGGGTCCCCCGCCAGCACTCCTGGCTCCTCCTCCCTTCCAAGTGCCACCACAAGAAGCTGCTTGCTATGGGGGCACTCGCATTGGTTTGATCCCGAGCTGAGCTGTGTGCGTCTATTGATACACACACTGCAGTTCAGCCTTGCCCCTGCTCCCTTGAGTGACAGCAACAGGAGCCAATGGCTCCAGCTAGTGCTTCCATATCCAGTGAGGAGAGAGAGAGAGTAGCACTGCTGCTCTCAGGTACAGCGCTGGATCGAGATCAGGCAAAGGTAAGTATTTAGGGGGTCTGGGGGAGCTGATCACAGAAGATTTTTTTACCTTAATGCAGAGAATGCAGCAAAGTAATAAACCTTCTGTCTTTACAACCACTTTGAGAACCAGAAGCTCTTTTGGCCATACTTCTCTTCTGGGTCACAAGAGTGCACTTGTGTTCCCCTGTGACCCAGAATCAGCCAAAAAGTGGGCTAGAGGTCCTCCGTGGGCTGATGTCACAGAGCTGCTCCAAGCTATGGAAGGATCCCAACCATATTGTTGGGATCCGCCCCAGCTGCCTATTGACAGCTGGCTTCAGCTCTCAGCACATGGCTGAAACTGCTGTCTGCTTTGAGGAGACCGAGAACTAAGCGATCAGCAGTCATGTGATCGCTCAGTTCTCTGTCTTAGAGTTGGTTGCGGACAGCTGCAGCATCACAGTGATGCTGCAGCATAGAAGTGGGTAAGTATGTTTTTTTTGTTTTTTTTTAGTACCCCCATACATCTCAGACTGATGCTGCATTTGTGACGGGGAGTATGGATGGTGCCTGGTTAGTTCCATGTGTGACACCAGACTAAAGCATGACATTAGGTAAGGGGTGCCCCAGATCTCTGGTGCCCCATCATTAGTGTCAGTGTGTGAAGAATAGTGTCCCATCATTAGTGTCAGTGGGAGGAATAGTGCCCCATCATTGGTGTCAGTGGGAGGAATAGTGTCCCATTATTAGTGTCAGTGGGAGGAATAGTGCTCCATCATTGGTGTCAGTGGGAGGAATAGCACCCCATCATTGGTATCAGTGGCAGGAATTGCGCCCCATCATTGGTGTCAGTGGCAGGAATAGCGCCCCATCATTAGTATCAGTGGGAGGAATAGCACCCCATCATTGGTATCAGTGGCAGGAATTGCGCCCCATCATTGGTGTCAGTGGCAGGAATAGCGCCCCATCATTAGTATCAGTGGAAGGAATAGTGCCCCATCATTGGTATCAGTGGGAGGAATAGTGCCCCATCATTGGTGTCAGTGGGGAGGAGGAATAGTGCCCCATCATTGGTGTCAGTGGGGAGGAAAAGTGCCCCATCATTGGTGTCAGTGGGGGAGGAATAGTGCCCCATCATTGGTATCAGTGGGGAGAAAAGTGCCCATCATTGGTGTCAGTGGGGAGGATGAATAGTGCCCCATCGTTGGTGTCAGTGGGGGAGGAACAGTGCCTCATCGTTGGTGTCAGTGTGGAGGAGGAACAGTGCCTCATCGTTGGTGTCAGTGGGGGAGAGGAGCGGCTGCTCCTTCTTTTAGTTCGGCCCCTTGATTTTCGCGCGGGGCCGTTCGGCTCCGCCTCCTCGCCGGTGATTGGTCGCCTGTGTGCCTTTCCAGTGCTGGCGCCCAATCACCGGTGAGGAGGCGGAGCCGAGCGGGCGGCGGGGGACCATCGAGCGGCCGAACTGAAAGAAGGAGCAGCCGCGCTTCCTGGACCGGATCCTCGTGGGACCGGGACCGGAGCCAGGTAAGGTACAGCAGCCCCTCTGCCCACCCCTGTACTTGGTGTCCGTTGGAGGAGGAGGGGGGGTGGCGGCCGCACCTCGAAAAAGTGCCGCCCTGATACCGGCTTATAAGACGACCCCCGACTTTTCAAAAGATTTTCACGGGTTGAAAAGTCGTTTTATACGCCGGCAAATACGGTAAATCTGAACGATTCAGCAGGAACCAGCCAAATTTCAATCCCTCTATGATCAGGCTGGTAGAACTGAAATTGAGCTATCTATTGATTGACTTCAGTGCAACTAGTCTGTGTTTTTTGTTTTTTTTTTTTGTTCGATCACTATAGGCACCAGCATTGATCAATGTATTCTGACAGCGGGGAAACCTTCCACAGTCAGAATACAATAGCACAGTGGGAGGGATTCCCCAACCACTGTGTTGATAGGGAAATTGAGCAATCTCCTTTCCTTCAACCCATGGTAAATGTATGTATATTTAGTGTGCAACATGCAGCATGGTTGCATAAACCATTTCCAAAACTAGGGTTTGCACCTATGCCGTGTACTTCCACAAATACTCGTACTTGTGCAAATGCTCTTGATACTGAAACTGATACCTTTGTGGTGCAATTTGAGGCCATACAAAATGAATGGGCTCAAATGCACTGCAAAGAATTGCATGCAATCTAAACAGGAATGCGGTGCAATTCCTGTCTGAATCACATACGGTTTTGCGCATAGCTCCTGTGTGAACCCAGGCTTGTCATAGTGACTTTGACCCCCTGAATTCACACCAGGGAAACCTCCCTGCATGACATAAATCGCACTGCATTCCTGCTCAAATGACATGCAATTCTTTGCAGTGCGATTTGAGCCCATTCAATTTTGTATTGGGTTCAGGATTGCAGTGCAAAGGTATTGATACTTGGTATCGGTTAATACTTGACCGAAAGTATCAGTACCCAGACTCGCCGATAAAAAAAACAATATCTGTGCATCCCTACCCAAAACCCATACTGCACCCCCTTGTATGAATAGCGGGGTGATTCTTCTTGCGGCATTAATGTGATTATTTGATAAAAAAAAAAAAAATGTTCAGCATGGCTGTGCGGCAGGAATCACTCACAATGAATTCCCTCATGTCCCATCTGTCACCCAGCAGCATTTTTTAAAGCATTTTCTTCTGCTTTTATTAACTGGAAAACTGATCAATGGTGAACGGGCCGCTAAGTTAACACGTTCCCATGTAGCAGTGCACGTAAGCCCTCATGAAGTGTTCTTGTACCAAACTGGTTAATCCCCATTAC